CTATAAACTATGGGTTGGACAGAATTCTTTAAACTTTGGGTTGGAAGGTATTCTTTCACTTTTTGACATTTTTGACCAAAATTTTTTTTGTCAGTTATGAAATCAAGCAAAAAACATTTCCTTTCTTCCCAAAAAAAGGCTATGGCGGAGCATTATTTTATACACAATTTTCTTTTTTCTTTCAAATATAAATTCCCCTGTTGGTTTCCGAGAAAATGTAGAAATGATTTAATGTTTAATAACTTGTGTAGACTGTAGACTTTTACCTGCAGATCAAATTTCTTTCTTTCCATAAATCATTTTTTTATTCTCATTTTTTAACCTGTTTTTCTCCAATTATGATGATAAATATCCCATCCTTCTAACGATTAAGTGCTTATTAATACGTTGTTAACAGGCTAGCAGCTAACTAATATTTTCTCGATCTCACATTGATATGATATCCAAAGAATTAACTTAACCTGTGGAAACATAAACGAAACAGATTAGTGCTCTCTGAAGAGGTACACAATCCAAAAATTCCTACCTCAGGAATGATCCAGCGCGGTTTGGTATAAAAAATAAATTGTAACAACATTTATAAAGATACCATTTTTATTTAAAATTTACCACAAGGGCCATTCCCAAATAAAAGGAGCAATTTTTGACAATTATGAAAGTGACCATCTCCAAGTTTTTTTTCTTAATAAAAAGTTACAGAGTTTACAAAAACAAATTTTTCCATTTAAAAAAAATGTTCTGACATCTATAGGGGCAGTTATGGTTAAATATTTGATTTTAATTTTCAAAACTAAAAAGTTACAGAATTTACAGAAACATTTTAATTTTTAAATTTTTTTTACGTTTTTCCCAAATATTAATTTCAGCCAAATCGGAGGCTGTCCCTTTTGTTCTGGAATGAACCACAATTACACCCTCCGGTGGTCTCCAGTGGAGTCAAAATCTTCCGTGACTCATTAAATAATCGTTAATCAGAGATTATCCATTTTCGTCAAAAGTTCGATTGTGAATGTTGATGTTGATTTACAAACGCTGAATATTAATACCAAATCAGGGAGAAAATATGAATCCCCCCCTTCAGTGAAGTTACTTCACCGGACCATTACCTTTTCCATCTGAGCAGGATCTTGATAAAGATTGACAACTTCAACAAAATGTAAAATATAAAAATTTATCCAAATAATCTATCGATGTCTAGGCAAGGGCGTATATAGGTGGAGGGGGGGGGGGAAGGGGACAATGCTCCCCCTTAGAGCTATCACAAAAGTAAAGGAACGAAGAGCTTTATTATGCAGATTACAATTGCACAACAGAAACTTTTAAAGTCATTTTAAACTATTCACTAACTAATATGTTTCCCGGGAAACCCTGGATATAATTTAGAGTTGAAATAAACTTAATATTTTTTACATATTAAAGTTCAATATTGAGGATGTGTTTCGTGATTATAGAAATCTTCCGAAGACACAACAGGACTGAGAGCTTTTTAAGAAATCCATGAAGTATTTAATTATAGGAACGGTTTATTACCTGGCGTGGAAAAATTATATCCTTCTATTTTAAATTCTTTGATCGGATTGATTGAATAGCGGGAAGCAGCTGAACTAGGTATAAAGTAGCTATTCATAAATTCCCACCTCGAGACCAATAAATCTTTTCGCGTTTATTCAGATAAGTAAAACCCTCAATATCGAATACATCGAAAGAAATCATCAAATGTCGTATTCTTCACTTTCCGATAATGGAATGTTGCAGATATTTAGGTTTTTAATTAATTGATTATATGGAACTATTTAAAACTGTTCCCGCATATGTATTGCTATTACTTTCGCAAATACTGAAATTTACGTAATATAGTATAAAACTCATTAGAAAATTGTCAAGACGACATTTGATAAATTCTTCCGATGCATTCGTTATTAAGGGTTTCACTGTATAAAATCTTCCTTTTTGCTGAGGACTTCCTCCCCCCCCCCTTTCCCCGTCATTTTTTACCTAAACAATAGCTATTGAGTCATATATCTTGTAAATTATGAACTCTTTTGTAAAGCTTTCACAATTGTCTAGTTTTATTGCGAATTTATGTAAAATGTTGCAATAAATTCAAATTTTTGTTTTTGCATAATCAAATATATTTATGAAAATTAAGGTTAGTTCTCAAATACACATTTTATCAACTAAGTTATATGTTAAAATCTTCTTTATGAATACTAGGCTCTCTCTTAACATCTATGATTTTTTCCTGTATGTAATTATCAATCTTTTTTTTGAGAGTGGGTGATAAATTATGATAATAATGATTACAGTAAACGATCAACTCCGTTACAATCAACAGGTTCGCATAATATATTTAATAATCATGTATGTACAGACAATGATTGTTATAAATACAATTTAACTAAATTAAATTTTTTTTTTAAATTATTAATTAAAAGTTTCAAGGAATTTATCTGGATTAATAATTTTTTTGACGATGTATTGTACACAAAACAGCTTGAGATAACGAAAGCAAATATATGAATTTACACCAAAAAAAGTTTTAATTTCTCAAATTTGAAAAAAACAAAATCAAAAAATCAAATTTCTTTCATTATGTAGCTGAAAATTTGGTGTTAAGAATAAAAAAATATAAAAATAGGACAAAGAAAAAATAGTTCGGAGAACTTTTTACAAATTCTGCACAATAACATTAGAGTGGATGAGATCAGAGGTTGAAACTTGTGTATGAGATAGCGCTAATCTACAAAGCCTGAACTCGAGATCTTCAACGAAAACTTTTTATTATAAGAATTAAATTAAAATGAAGAAATCATTTAATCCTTCAGAGCTGGGAACTCTTGTATTGTGGAAATCGAGATCAATGCTTGATCTTAATCTTTTTTTAGTCTGAAGATTAATTTAATCTTTATTCGATATCCTGCATGATAATTGTACACTAAAGGGCTAACTGTAATGAAGAGTTTAAGCATAAATATTTAAATTATAAAATGCCTGGATATCGGGATCTAGTGATCGGGATTATGGGTATCCACCATCCAACACAAAGTTCCCAGCTCAGACCCCAAAACATAAGAAATTAATGCTGAGATTAACAGTTTAAAAGTTCCAACCTCTGCCAAGAATAAGGGTCTTAACTAATAAATAAATATTCCGAGGATAGAAGCACAGGCTAGAAACAAACCTTGCTCCAGGGGGCGCTATCTAAATAAGTCATTATTAAAAACAATCTTATTTTTAAAAAGTTATTTTTTTTTTGTTTAGTACTGACCTCATAGTTGTTTACTGGTTGGAGGCTGGAGAACTATTTGACCTCCTTGTGATACAACTATCTGATGCTGACCAGGTTGACCAGACACCTAAAGTATCATTTGAATTTCAGTTACTTAATAAATTAATAAATGTGCTTGTTATGCCTGGAGAGAACTCGTACCTGCAGCGAACTCTGGTTATGCTACGCGGCAAAGCGCAAGATTCTTTAAACATAAACAAACACTTGAATTTATGGAACGGATTTGTTTCAGTTCTAATATAAATTATTCTTGTTTGTTTACATTTCAAGAAACTTGCGCTTTGCCGCGTGCATAACCAGAGTTCGCTGCAGGTACGAGTTCTCTGCAGGCATGACAGTGCTCTTTTCCATTTAACTGTTCCTTTTTTGTTAAGTTTACAAAGTAATAATCATGGTCGTTTTAATCTAATCTGTTTTAATGATAATGATTTAAATTAATGTAACGAGGGGGCTCTTATCATTATCATTGTTTCGAAGCCCTTCTTGATGAGATGGGTTTTCCAGTTTATCCCGGAATTAATTGTACTTAATCCTTCATTTCGGAAGTTTACACTGTGGACGTTGAGTTGAGTCGACAAGACTAAGCGCCATTCCACTCAAAAGTTTTAGTCTTAGAATTATTTAAACGTGAAAACATTATGAAACAAAAACTTCAGATTCAGTTAGAACTCTTACAAAACAATGATGTCAATAAAAATTATACAACGGAGGTTTTAAACTTATCAATTAACCCCTACAATTTTATTCAACTAATAGATTTCCCAAATTTTACTAAGTGCTTAATCATAAATTTCTACAAACTTTAATCAAATAACACACAAACCAAAAATAACATGATTTAACAACAAATGGTTAAAACTAATCATCAGTTCTGAAAATTCAAGAATTGGTTTTCCTAACTGTGCTTAATTAAAACTTAATAACAAGTCTAAAGTTTCCATTAAAACATGCAACTCATCAAAACTTTCTCATTCAGGGGCATTTGAATAAGTAATGGGTATATTTGGTCGGGGTTTGGGTTCTTTTTACTTGTAAATGAAAAATTAAAAATAAAGGTTCCTCTTTCAAATTGTTTTTCCTCAAAAAAAAAAACTTTTAAGCGGGGCTCATGAAACGGGAATAATAAGACGATATCTAAGCAATCTTATGCATGAATACCCCCCCCCCCCCAGTAATTAAAATATCAACTTATTGATGGGTCGGTGTACGGGCTACGTACACGACAAAATTGCTGTTTTATTTTCATTTTACAAATTAAAACCATTTCTAAGGTTCACTATTCCAGAATTTTATGGGTCCTATTGTATGTTCCAAGTACCTGCACTATTTGTCCCGGTCTGACCGTCTGTCCTCCTGTGAGAGCAACCAGCTGGGCCGGGCTACCGGACTGACTGGTACTTATGACGTAATGCTGCCGGGACTGGTTGCTACTACTCACAACCACAACCTGGCCAGGTCGAGGACGAGGGGTGGAGGTTGCAACCATTAGCTGAGGAGTACCACGAACTATTCCAGGGGAGTTGCTGGCAACCATTATCTGTTGTTTAATCCCGCCCCGCCCAGTTGATACTATTCCCACCTGCTAAATTTAAACAAGATTAATCTTAAGAAATGTGGAATATTATAAGCTTTTAAGGGGACATCAAACAGTTTCAAGTATGATTCCCAATGGTACCTTAACATATTCATCCGAATAAGAGCAAAGAATGAGAACAGCGTCGTTGCATTTCTTGTTATAGATTTTTAACAATTACAAGTTATCCATTATTTTCAAAGAGTAACAGAGTATATCTTGCTCAGACGAAACTTTAAAATCTAAAATAGTACATGGGGCAAAACAATTCTTTGTATTCAGGGTCAAGTAAAGTTACATCTACAACGTCTTCAAGATTTAAAAGTTTACCTGAGGTCTTTGAACTGTTACTGTTTGTGCCCGTGGCTGCTGTGACACGATAAGACCAGTTTGCCCGCGCACTAGGGCCTGACCACTTATTAGCTGACCGGGGCGAGATAGCCCGCTTATTTGAGAAACAGCAACCTGCCTAACTCCGCCTGCTCCAGTTGACATTGTAAAGCTGGCTGTTCCTGCCTTCAGCTGAGACTGAAGAGCAGAGAACACTTGTCCTCGAGCAGCTGCAAGCTGTTGGAGCTGTGCTGCTGTTAGTGTTGTTGTAGCTATAGTACGACCAGTTGTAACAGCCACAGCCTGACTTGTCATAGCTCTGACTGTTTGTAGAGATGCTGTTGAGCAGATAACAGGTCTTGTTGGTAGCACTACAGGTTGTTTAGGGACAACTACAGCAGCCGTTACTGGCGTTAAAACATTGGGTTGGGGTTGAACCGCCGGCGGTTGTGATTTAACGGGTACAGGTCTATTTACCCCTGCGGCCATACTGGCAAATGATGCCGGGGGGCGGTTAATACTCGCAAGAATAGGTTTGGTTGGTTTGTTCTTGGCTCTCCACTCTAACCAGCTTGCCACCTCAGGATCACTGCGGTCACCTGACCCAACATATCATGAAAACTTATTCTTTTATCATTTATTTTTCAAAGTTTATAATTTAAAATTTTCAAGTTATTTAAAGTTTTGAGTCGGGGCTTTAAAGTTATATTCAAGTGTGGAATATGAACTTAAACTTAAACAAAACTCATTTATTTCCAACCCAACAAAATCCCTTTTCTAATATTCATTCTACCACCAGTTACTTTTAGAAACCCTAAATTTAGATTGATATGAAGGCGTAATTTCATTGGGTCATTTATGGAAAGGTGACACTTTTTTAATTAAACCTTATTAATCCCAGAAAAATGGCGATATTCGTTGTGAATTGGACATTGCTCGGCCTTTGCATTAAAGGTCACTTGAAATTACGCATACAGTTCCTTTAAACAAAATACTTGTATGATCCCCCTGAATTTTCATAAAGCGGAATTTTCATTCATCTCGATCTAAACTAGGTTTAAGAATTCTTAAACTAGTTCCAACAATGTGATATTGCTTCTCTACGGTTCCTTCAACTGCCATGTTAAAGGTTTAGTGCGGATATTAAACTGAATAACGTGGTTTTCATCATTTCCTTTCGCCTCCAGCTGTTGATAATACGCTTCCCGTAATATTTTGAATGCTTGAAGGTTTGCGTAAGGGAGCTCCGTCACGGGATCAAAATATTTGGCGGGAAGGCGGGTTACTGGGCAGATCTTGGGAGTTGGAACCTGGAACCTACAGAATAGAAATGATTTAAGTTACAGACAATACTAACTTAAGATCCATAACGTTAGTGCGACCTGGATCCAACAAATTGACCAGATATTCATTAAATACGGTTTAAAATAAAAAAGTAAACTTTCGTTATTAGAAGTAAAACATTAAAGAATACGAATCTAATGTTCGGGTCCAGGATCCACATAAAACTGGAATTGATTTGAAGCACTTGTTAGATCACGAGAGCTTCATTGATAATAAGATTTATAAGATAAATCTGGAGGATTTCAAAGGTACTGCAGACAAGTGACCCTCCAACTAAAAGAGTGGAATGCCCTATTCACAACATAACCCATTTTCTAAATGATAAATTAAATGAATTATATGGCCATTTTTTTTGGATGTTTCTCTACAAGTGAAACAATGGATGAAATTGTTGAAATTAAACACTTTTTAAGATAGGGAAACGGCGATATCTTCTATATAATTGATTAAAGGTTTAATGAGTATGACAAGAATCGGTCATGGTTCTTTTTAAATGACGGGCCACTTAAAATTTCAACAACAGTCCCATTAAATCACAATATATATTCTTTACATTTAGACATTCACTAGAGATGCATTTATATTGTTTTTATAAAGAATGAAATTAACTATTTTGCACTTTAGCAGGAATAAATCAATTAAAACCAGAGTTTAATGCGTCCATTAGTCTGGGAAATTGCTAATGGGGTGATTGTCTGAAACCATTCTTTTATAATAGCATCTTCACAACAACCACAACTAAGGGGGGTGATGAAATTGCCCCTCACTAGTGCATACATGCACAATTTACATTGCACAATACATAATGCATGGGAGAGGTCTGTCTGTATACTTAGTTTATGTTTGAATTGCTCTTATTTTGTTGTCTTTCAATTCTGAAACTTAATCTGACATCTCAAGTCAACATTAGAAGATAGAAAGTTACGTATTAAAGAAGTATATAATTCACTTTTAGAAAGATTAGATTTTGTTTCTAGACATAAAGATAGATCTTTAGAAGGGGATTGCTGGCTAGATATTGATTCTTGGCAATTCCTTGGTATTAATCAAATTATAAACTACTTAACGTACTTTATGGATCATATTCAATCCAGACAAATAAATATATTATAAAAAAGAAATTAAAAAAGAAATCTATAAAAAGGCGAAACTTTTGAAAGAGATGGTCCATTTAGTGTACTGTCCCATTTTGCCTTAAAGGGAGTGACCGGTTATGTAAGAGTATAATTTTTGATACATTTTTCGTCGTTGTTATCTAATAATTTTAAAAAATCAATTCTCAAAACGTTAACACCCAAACAGATGATTTTGAACGTTGACTTTGCACTCAAACTCAGTTTTTATACATCATTAAAGCGTTTTTCATGTCTGAAATGAATCCAAAAAAATTTCTCCACAATATTACATTCTCAGTTCATCTACGATACATTGCCGGTCACTCCCATTAAATAGTCTTTACTCTGTATGTGAGCTGTTGCAGCTTGCTCTAGCTGCTTAAAAATCGGCTCAGTACTTGAAATGAAGTGAAGTTAACAGCGAGATAAAATGGGAAAGCCTCTGCAAGAGATTTACGTTAAGATTCAGTGTTTAAGGGGGATAGAAACCGGCTGAACGTGGAACCTACAGATTTATTATTCAAAAGTTTCGCCTTGTAGTTCCAAAAAAAGTACTGCATGGAATTAAAAAAAAAAATGTACATCATACCTTTTTATTCTATTGCTATTGTATGGTAGAACAAATAAAGCTCCAAATATAAATGAGAGACATTTATATAAAAGTATTACAAATTTTATTTTCCCAAGAATAAGATAAAGATTTTTTTTTAATTGATTAATGATTATATAACAGTTTGTTGACAAGTTTTTTAGGATTAGGTGCTAGAAAATTGGTTGCGAGACCGAATCAAATTTAAATGTTTTAGTGACGTTCTGCTGTAGCTGCCGAGTAACAATATGAAGTAATTAAATACAATATTATATAAATAAAACTAATATTAGACCTGGATTTTGGAAAGTTTTCTTTCATTGTTTGTTTATCTGTAAAGGATATAAGTGTTCTCTCATGTCTTCTTGGATTAGGTTTCTTTTCATCATCATCTTCTGCATCATCAGTTTCTATTTAATAATACTTTATTATAAACTAGAAAAAGGGGCTAGGTTCGTATTGCGGACGCAAATTAGAATGAACATAAGTGTGACAGACAATGGAATGCACACACTAATATTCAGGGGCACAAGTTGAAAGCCCCCCCCCCCTCAAACATAAGCATTGATGAATCTAATTTTTTAAGATTTGGTATTTTTAAAGTGAAGACATTTATTCAAGTAAGACGCACATTTCGGTGCAATAAAGCACGTCAGACATACATTCACAATTCAAGTTAAAAGAATTCCCCGACCAAATGGCATAAGTTAAGGGGTAATATGTTAAATTCAACCCAGATATTTTTTATTACAAAAAGTTTCGCTATACTGTATACACCCTTGTTAAAATTCTGTGTGTAACAATGATTCTGTGTTAAGATGGCTTCTTGGTTTAAAGTTAAAGTAATATTATATTCTACACTAGAGTCCATACTAGAAAATTAAACCAATTTGTCTGAAGAACTTGTGTGATGGTAACTTGAGAAGAATAAAATATATTTCCTAGCTCCGGCTTGAGGTCTGTATTCTTGAACTCCTGAACCAAGGGTAGGCTGGTTGAGTGGTACCTAGAGTAACAAATTAAAGGAAACGTTGACGAATTTTAAACAGAACTAAGAAATCAATTGTTATTATTCATACAAAGACATATTTTTAACAAATGAGGATTTTCTTCATCTTAAAAGAAACATCATCTGGTTTAGTTTCCCGGCAAAGTTGGGTTTCCAAGTTAGTAAATAAACAGTGATAACCAGAAAACTCTGGAATATAAAGTCGAATTTAAGACCCAAGGTAAGACTTAAAATAGTCTTATGAACATGCTGCACAGTGACTGTGCAGTGTATACAGACCCAGTTCACTTAATAATGAATTTAATAACTTTCTATTTGCTTTTTAACAACAATTTCATTGTTGCTTAATGTCAAACTTCATATTTTATAGTTTTCTGGTAATCACTATAATAGTAGTTCCAGGGAGTAAGGAATAGAAGGGAGATATAACTGACGCGGTTCGCCCTACCATATGATTAAAAATGCTTTTCAGACGAGTACTCCATTTGTATAAGAAATATTTGTCTGATGTACAATTACCGCGTATACAATAACATATTTGAATATTTTTATATACAAATGGAGTTCCCGTCTGCAAAGCACGCATAATCATATGGTAGGGTGAACCGCGTCAGTTGTATCTCCCTTCTTTTCCTTTCTCCCTGAGTAGTTCCGATAGGGTCCAAATTTTCATGAACAACCCCTTTAAGATGAAGACGGGAAATCACTAGGGTATGTAAAAAATGGCAAAGTTTTGTATTATTTTTGAGGAACGTTGAAGAAGAAAATCTCTTACAAAACAATATTTATTAAATATGTAAAGAATGGTCTTGAACAAACAGTATAGCAATAAACGAAGACAAATTACATATAAAGAATCCTATCTAAACTAACCAAACTCTCGCCTCAAACTCAAATGTTCGAATCCTTGTATCTTTGCTATCATATGGTTTACACTTTTAATATTCAAAGCCTAGACTGGTATAGTCTATAAGAATGTTTAGTTTGAAATATCAAAAGTCTTCTACATCAGGTTGCAAAGATGTAGGGATAAGAAATTTAGAATGAGCAGCGATTGTTCAGGTTCTTTAAATCTTCCCCTTCACTTTCCTCTCCTCTTTCTAACGTCATACCCGGAAGAAACTCTCAATTCCAGAACAGATAAATTAAGTAAGTTTTCCTTCTTTATACGTCCCAAGGTGAAACTCACTAAAGACATGACATGCATAAGAGAATTAAGTTCAACTACCCTCATTAAAAATATTAAAGTCTAAAAGATAGAGATAACAAAAAAGTCAAGTTGGACATTAGAGGATTTGAAGAGAACCTTTAAATCATTATCTATTATCTAATCTATTTACCAAAAGTTTTAATAAACATTGATATTAATATTGCACATTTCAATATCTCATGATACGAAATTATGATAAAAAACATAAATTTGTAACATGGCTATTTTAAAATTTTTAAAGTCAACACTCATTTAATTAAATGTTAACTTGAAACTTCAAATACTACACAGAGTTATAGATAAATAATAGATATAAATATAGATAAATAATGAAGGAAGGTTTTGTACAGAAATGTGTAATGAAAATAAATGCAAATATTAAACCCTGATGAATGAATGACGTGTATATGGATAGAAGAAGAATTTTATTTTATATTTATTAGAATTCTGTGTATCTAAGCCAGGAATTTAACCTTAACTCCGAAGGATTTAAGATGTTAGTGAAGAGATTTAAATGTAACTTCTGTAATCCCTTCTAAACTTTAGTTAAACCTTTCTTTGTTGTAAACCAGTGAATCATGGGGATAATCCATGCCAATGATCCCAGATAATATTTTGCTTAAACAGACAACAAAAAATAATTGCGGATTTTATTTTTTTAGGAAAAACTGTGTTTAGACCAGGGAGAAACTCTTACTAAGATTTGATTTTTCTCTACCCCATCAGA